CCTGCGGCTGTTGCCGCCGCTGCTACCATTTATCCAGTTCCTCTAAATCCCTTTCACCTCCCAGCAGTCAGGCAGTGCTGTTGATATCTCCCTTTGGCTAAAGTGTGTGTGTGTGTGTGTGTGTGTGTGTGTGTGTCCTGATCTCCGTCCCTCTCACAGAGTCTTCTGATGTCCATTGGCCGACAGCTTCCCAGACTCAGGGTCCGTGGGGCTGTTTGACAGCTGTAGTTTATCCAGACCTGAGGAGAGAGAACCTGGTATTAGACGTTGTCTCTCAGTTGTGGTCACAGTGACCTCTGACCTCTGACCTCTGTGGGGTGGTTCAGTGGATGTATGGATAATGACTGACCTAAGGCCTTCAGCAGCTCCTCCCTCACAGCTGAGGTGAACTTCCTGATCAGGCAGAGCGTCTTCACCACTGCAAACAGCAGGTTGTACGACAGGACGATGTAAAAGTTCCCCAGCCAATTAAATCTGCCGAAGTCTCCCAGGAGGTCGAACCTGGTGATACCTGGAGGACAGAGGGAACAGAGTGGGCTCAGAGAACTGGGCCGCATCCCTGTCTGGCCCACATGTCATGTTGTTAATCCTGGGTTAGCAGACGGCCCAGTGACTCCACTCACCCAGAGTCCTGGACATGACGGGCAGAGCAGAACTGAGGACCAGGATGGACACACAGCAGCCGATGATCTGTGGACACGGACACAGGTCAGCGTCACAGGGTTCTACTGTGGTTCTACTGTGGTTCTACTCTGGTTCTACTCTGGTTCTACTCTGGTTCTACTGTGGTTCTACTGTAGTTCTACTGTGGGTCTACTGTGGTTCTACTGTGGTTGTACTGTGGTTCTACTGTGGTTCTTCTGTGGTTCTACTGTGGTTCTTCTGTGGTTCTACTCTGGTTCTACTGCGGTTCTACTGTGGTTCTACTGGGGTTCTCCTCTGGTTCTACTGTGGTTCTACTGGGGTTCTCCTCTGGTTCTACTGTGGTTCTACTGTAGTTCTACTGTGGTTCTACTGGGGTTCTCCTCTGGTTCTACTGTGGTTCTACTCTGGTTCTACTCTGGTTCTACTGCGGTTCTACTCTGGTTCTACTCTGGTTCTACTCTGGTTCTACTGCGGTTCTACTGCAGTTCTACTGCGGTTCTACTGCAGTTCTACTGCGGTTCTACTGTGGTTCTACTCTGGTTCTACTGGGGTTCTCCTCTGGTTCTACTGTGGTTCTACTCTGGTTCTACTCTGGTTCTACTGGGGTTCTCCTCTGGTTCTACTGTGGTTCTACTGTAGTTCTACTCTGGTTCTACTGTGGTTCTACTGGGGTTCTCCTCTGGTTCTACTGTGGTTCTACTGCGGTTCTACTCTGGTTCTACTGCGGTTCTACTGTGGTTCTACTCTGGTTCTACTGGGGTTCTCCTCTGGTTCTACTGTGGTTCTACTGCAGTTCTACTGTGGTTCTACTCTGGTTCTACTCTGGTTCTACTCTGGTTCTACTGCAGTTCTACTGTGGTTCTACTGGGGTTCTCCTCTGGTTCTACTGTGGTTCTACTGCGGTTCTACTCTGGTTCTACTCTGGTTCTACTGTGGTTCTACTGGGGTTCTCCTCTGGTTCTACTGTGGTTCTACTCTGGTTCTACTCTGGTTCTACTCTGGTTCTACTCTGGTTCTACTGTAGTTCTACTGTGGGTCTACTGTGGTTCTACTGCAGTTCTACTGCGGTTCTACTCTGGTTCTACTCTGGTTCTACTGGGGTTCTCCTCTGGTTCTACTGTGGTTCTACTCTGGTTCTACTCTGGTTCTACTCTGGTTCTACTCTGGTTCTACTGCGGTTCTACTGCAGTTCTACTGTAGTTCTACTCTGGTTCTACTCTGGTTCTACTCTGGTTCTACTCTGGTTCTACTCTGGTTCTACTCTGGTTCTACTCTGGTTCTACTCTGGTTCTACTCTGGTTCTACTGCAGTTCTACTGTGGTTCTACTGTGGTTCTCCATGGCTGCAGTTGCTCATCACCAGCTCCTTTCACTGCAGCGTCATGGCTGGTTAAAAAGCCTCAGCAATCCTAAACTCATTACCAAGTGAATAGTTGCCACTGTGGACCAAACACTGCAGCCCCCCCCCACCCCCC